TGTTTAAATCCTGAATTCTGCAAACCTGGGAAATTTCTGGACGCTTTTATAGAAAAATTTTTTGTACTCGCAGTCACTGCAAATTTTCTGATTTTTCTCTAAAAAGACTTCAAAAATCTGGAATCTTGAGCCATTTCTTCACAAACGTCCTAGTTATTCTATAAGCAGACTCTTAGGATTATTCAACTTTAGTTGATCAATTTTATTGAGTCAGTCTCATGACTCTCTTGAACGATAAAGTTAGAATGAAGCAATCTTTTGTGGAATAAACTAACGTTGACCAATTAAAATTGAAGATATGTTCTCCCAGCTATTTTCCTTCGATTTCAGATAATACACCAAAGTTGATCAATTAAAATCGAATCGCAAGAACGCACGCAAAATCTTCTTACGTCTGAAGACCAAAAAAAGACGTCTAGGAGACGCTGTTTTGAAGACGTCCATGAGATATCGTAGATTCGCATCTTAAAGACAACTATTTGGTACAACTAAGCCTAGAAGTGAATAATGGTTTTGAAAAGAGATTCAAAGACGTCTCTTTAAAAACGTCTTTAAAATGTCTTAGTCATAACGACCTCCTAATGCAAAACGTCGATAGACGTCTGAAAGACGTTGGATTTTTTAATATACGACGTCTTCAAGATGTCTTTAAAACTCCTGAAAGACGTAAGCAAGACGTCTTGAATGACGTTTGTGGACATCTTAGGAACGTCTTTAATAAAATTTTTACAAAAATTTCTTGCAGAATTCGTTTCTCATTCAATTAAGAGGTTACTGGAAACCATTTAGAATGGAACAGAAGAATTAATAAGCCTTTTGGATAGTTCAAAACACCTAAAGTTCAATTCAGGATTTTCAAAAGCATTCTGTAGCGCTTGAGAACATTTTGGAAATTTCAGAACCATTTTAGTATAGTAGGATTCCGAAAAATTTAAAAGAGAATGATTTCATGAAAAAGAAGAAGATCAATGTGGGTTTCGTACAGGAAGAGATCTTGTAGTGATAATATTTTATCTCAAGCAAGTAATTGAGAAAATGAATGCCTACTTTTGTTGACCTACAAAAAGCATATGATACCGTTGCAGTAGAAAAATTATAGTCAGTGTTAGAGCAAACTAACATCAACCATAATCACGTAAAAGCGATAAAAGAACTTTACAAAGGATCAAAATCTAGAATGGTAACTAAAGGTTTGAGACAGGCATGCTGTATTTCCCCAACTCTTTTTGAAATAAATATCGAAGTTGCTCTAAATACCTGGAAACGAAAAGTACAGGGCATACAAATATAACTCAACCACCCATGTACCATTTACACACTACAGTTTGGCAGTTTGCTGACGACCAAGTAATTGTAGTTGTAATGATAAAGAAGACATAGTATATGATGAGAAAGTTAGCCGAAAAGCACCAAAAGTGGGGGTTAGTAGTGAACGTGAACAAGGCATACTACTACATGTATTGGAACTGGAGCATGTGAGTTGGAAGTTGGAACTGTACATACAGACAAAAAAATTCGCCATGCAATGAGTATGTTCTACTTAGGTACCTATAATATTAGATGAGACAGGAATAGATTGTAAAGAACGGGAAAAAAGAATAGTAAAAGCAAAAAAGGTTATTGGACGTCTTAACAGTATTTTATGGAGCAGAGAGACAAAGAAAAATGTAAAGTTAAACATGGTGAAAAGTACGCTGCTGTATGGAATAGATTTATCGCGTAACATAAAAATACAAAACAAAAAAAAGGAAAGTGTCAAAATGGACGCAATAAGAAGATCAATGAGAATATCTAGAAGAGACCACGTAAGAAATGAGGCTATTGAAGAAACAATGGGAATCGAGGAAAGTATAACGGATGACATCACTAAAAGACCACTAATATGGTACGGTCATGTACAGCAGATGAACGACGAAAGATTACTAAAGTTCCTAGAACTGGAAAGTGGAATGGCAGTAGTCAGTCCAGATATCAATGAGTCAACAACACCTGACAGAAGAGGATTGTCAAGATTGAAGGAGGTGGAACATAGGCGTCGGACAACGTAGGAAAGCGTTCTAAACCGACATAATAATACTCTTGGACTTGGATGCGGTTAAATTAATGCCCGATTTATTAATTTTCAGACTTGCTGGTAACTATCTGCAAGATAAATTTACGGTTCTAGAATTCTATTGGTCGGTGGAAAACTGGCATTACAGATTGTGTTTTTATCCGCCAGATTGCATACCTGGCAGTTTATCAGAAGGTGAATAAACTGGCCCTAAGACAGAAAAGGTAAAACTCTAAAAATACATATTTTACCCATAGCATCATGTCAATAAAATAAAATAAAAATTATTTAAAAAATAAATAAATAAATACAGTACAATACATACACTCCAATTAAACTTAAAAAAAAAACACAAAATTTATAATTTTCCAGAACATATACTAACATAAAACGTACACCAAAGCTAAAACTGAACAAGATCTACGAAAGTAAGAGTGTCTGTTCCACAGTTAATCCCGACATCCAAAGTTGCAGCACAGAAGGGGTCAGTGCAAGTACCTTATTGTTAATCACAGTAGTTATTGTTATCTATTTCTCTAAATATTTGACCTGATCATCAGAAAAGAATTCCTCCAAACTATAGTAAGTTTTAGAGCTCAAGAAAATTTTGAGTGTTTGTTTGATCCTCTGTGATGGTTGCTTCCGAAAAACAGGGAAATATTATAAATAAAAGGCAGGAAGTTTTCAGCTTATTTCGACTTTATTTTCAAATTTTTAAATCAAAAGCCGACGTTTCGATGCCTTCCGCATCATTCTCAAGGCTAAAAAACACAAAGAACGTTATACAGTTTGTAAAAATATAAAATTTAAATTAAAAAATTGAGATAAAAAAACTCAAGATTAATACATAAATCATTAAAAAGACCGACACAAACTTTAATTTAAAATTTACCAATTAAAACACATGTGAACAGAAATAATTATTGTTGTAGACTTATTATGTATTTGATAATAATGTAGGTACCTTACCTAGATTACTCGAGCTAAAAATCGCATTTATTAAAAACGATCCATTTTTTTGCAATACGAAAAATAGACGTTCCTGTGGTACTCTCGCCGTGATGTTTGGGTACTGATTTTGCTATTGATTTGCATTGGTAGGCATATAAAATAAATTTAATAATGTTAACCCACTGCCAGTTTTTTGGTCTTTTAACTGAAAATAGAGTCAACAACACAATACTGATGTAATGGGTTTATTGTAAGTGATTTTTAATAATATTACACTAGATGGCACTTAAGTTTTGTGTCACTACTCAAGTTTACATTGGGTTTATTTGTTGTTATGTGACACATTTCTAAGAAAAGTATTTTCTGAAAGTTCGATTGATTGTCTAGGATAGTAGTTGACTGAAAATCGAAATGGTGTCTGGTGTCGAAGTGGTGTTTGGATAGTCCTGTTTTTGGATTGTCCGACTTTGTAACATTACAGTCCCTTTTGTGTTCTGATATTCGGTTTTTGAGATATTGCTTTGTTTGACCTACGTAACATACATTGCAGTTGTTGCACGGTATTCTATAAATTATATTGCTGGTATTATGGGGTTGGTTGTTTAACCTGTGAAAAAAGATCTTTTACTGTTTTTTTGTTATGCATGGCTAGTACAGAATTCTGTGTATTAAGTTTTTTCTTAAGATGTTCAACTTAAACCCCTCACATAAGGTATTTTAAAATATTTTTGGGGTGTTGCTAAATTTGTTCGAGTGTTGTCGTTATTTGCGTTTGTTATGCGGGGTTGCTGGTTTAAAATGCGATTGATAAAACCTATAGGGTAGTTATTTGCCAGTGGGGTGTTTTTAAGTTGATTTATGTTTTGTTCCCAAAACTTTGCATCTGATAGTTTGTAAATTTTGTTTTGGAATTGTTTAATTATGTTAATTTTTTGGTGAAGCGGATGAACTGATTGATAATTTAATATCCTATTCGAACTCGTAGGCTTTTTGTATAGATTCAGAATTATTTTATTGTTAGTTTGAATAAGTAACAGATCCAAGAATAGTAATTTGGTTTCTTTTTGGATTTCGCAAAATGTTTAACGTTTTTTTGAGATATACGAAGAATGAACAGTTCCAGTTTCCAGATTTTCTTTAAACCGAGTTTTATTGCTGTGATCTGATTTCAATTTTTCAAAAATATCTGGTTTTTCTGAGATGAACTTTGTGCATTCAATAATTTAAATGTTAAAAACTGTTGGAAGACTGTTTCCAGTAAAGAAATTTCTGCAGCTTTCTCTGTTTTCTTTTTCAGAAATTGTTCTTAAAAGCCGAGTCCCTCAAAACCCTCAAAGCATAGCAAAATTTACTTATTTTTTTTTTGCAAGTTGGTCATTGCACCACCCTAAGAAATGTAACATGATCTTTCGTGTTTATTATTGTAGTATTATTATAGTTTATTGCTATTGTATCAGGTTTAATTTTGGCAGCTCAGTATCATTTTATTTATGACAGTTTCACTTTCACGGAAGTAAAACGGTCAATTTCTGTGCAACGAAGTTGAGTGCATTGTTTCAGATAGAGCTCTGTAAGCTGTAAGTATGGTTCTGTTTAGAAATGTTTGGCCAAAATTCGACATACTAGAAAAAAAATATATAGAAAAAAATTACTTGAGCCAAATCCTCTGTCGCTTATTAAATTTACAAATTCATTGTTGAAATATACCATTTGATCACCTACATTATTTATTGATGCATTTCGGTGTTACCGTTATTTTCCAAGCTACAGTGGATTATGCTCATCAAAATTATCCTGTTGTTTTTCAGACAAATAAATACCACAGAGTGAAAAAAAGTCAAATGACGATGCCGGAAATTGCATTTACCTTCTTTTTCACTTCTTCTGGGGATTTTTAATTAATTTAATGGAACCTTAGAGAATACGTTCATTTTCTAATGGCGCAAGGCAATAGTCATTCCAATAAATCCAATGTTAAGCTGGTACAAAAAGAAAATTCCAATATAAAATCTTTTATTATAAACAGAGAGTTTCAATTACAAAATAGTCTTATGTTTTCCTAGATGCATAACAATAATTTCAACGCCTTGAATCAATTCAGGAACATAATATTAAACATAATACAAAAACATCAATTTGAAGTAGTGGAAAGTATATACCTAAACATAAGTAAAAAAAAACAAATAATGAGTAACTTTGCTTGCAATATTTGAAAAACCTACAATTAATTTAGAAACATTAAATTATAGAAAAAATATATCTAAAGTTCAACACAACAACAAAACCCTATAATCAAAAACAAAAATAATACTTAAAATATAATTAACGTAAATTCGAAATTTCTGCTTATATGGCTATACTTTCAATAATACGCGTCACTACTTTTTCTCATTAGAAGCGGCACATATTAAAACCACCTGCTCACCGCGCATTAACATTTGATCTACGCGTCTTCTACACTCTTCTGTATTTTTCTTTAATTTTTTGGTTTCCATTTTTGGCAATCTTATTCGGTTTCTTGAATTCCTCTGTCGAGATGGATCCTCAGGAAAAAGATCTAGAACGAAAATTACATGTGTATGTGTCGATTAGGCTGAAAACGACTAGAAAAAAGGGGCAATTTCTTCTCCAACTATGTTTTCAAATGGTAACGTAGAGAAATTAAGGAGTCTACTATTTACTTCAGCGATTCTTTGTAAATTAGGTACATGTAAATTTTAAAATGTTAAACAAATAATATAATATGTAGTTTGTATTAGTTTTCAATTTTACGATTCTGTTGCATGTCACAGATAGGTTTACATGCATTATTTTATCTATCCAATATCAAATTCCAATATTTTCACAACCCAGTTTTCGTAACTTTTCAGTATAAAGATAATCTCTAAGCTAAAAGATTCCGTCGAGCCCTGGAATTGATGATAGTTTAAGTGATTTTACTGCAGTTTCAACTTTTTCCGGAGTGAACACGATATTTTTCAACTCGGTTGTAGCATATGCATATGGTAGTGTGGGCAGAACCGTATTCGAGTTGAGCACTGTGAAAACTTTCTCAAACTCTTATGTAAAACACTCTGCAATATCTTGATTTGATGTTTGTGGTTATTGTGTTATTTTATCAATTAGGCTAAATTTGTGATGTTTTGTGTTGAGGGTGCGATTTATGTAGGCGTAGAATTATTTACTATTATCCAATAGGTTATGTTCATAGGTTTTTCTAGCTGATGCTATGCATACCTTGGTCTTGTTGCTTTGTTGCTGGTATTTTTGGTAGCTTGCTTCTGATTTGTTACTTCTATAGGTACGCCAATAGTCTCGTTTTCTTTGGATCTCTTTGAAGACTTCCCTGGTCAGCCATGGTTATGGTGTATTTATTTTTTGAGGTCTGTTTGGAATGTAGGTGGTTATTGCTATAGTCAATACCTCATAAAACTTCTCAGTAGTCATTGGATTTGTTACTTGCTGTAAATGTTGCTGAAGGCTATTTCTCACTGCTTCATAATCAGCTTTCCAGAATTGCCTCTTGTAGGCTTTGTGTATTGGCTGTGCAGTAATCTGAAGCTGCGATTTGGTTGTGACGACTATGTGATCACTTTTCCCCAGTGGTGCATGATGTTGTGTGTCAAATACAAATTTCTTCTCATTAACTATTAGTTCAAGAGTGATATTTCGTTGTTTCTGAACCTAGTTGGAAAGTTTACAAGTTGATGTCCACGGTAGTTCTTGTAGCTTTCCAAGAAGTCATGGCTGCACTGGTTGTGAGGGTGCCAAGAGATTCCAGTTGATTTCTGGGCCTGGTTTTGTTCTTTTGTGGTCTTTTGCTTTGGCCTATAAATACATGCAACCAAAAGTTTGATTTTGCTTAGCTTAATTTCGATCCATAGTGATTCAACTGAAGCTGACGTGTAGAATTGTTGACTGATAACAGCATGTGTATTGTGCCCAGCAATGTTGCTTGTGACATACACACAAATACCTCCTCCTTGCATTCCTCTATATATCTTTGCGGAACATCATATAGCATGGTCAGCCATGTTTCGGCAATCAAGATGATAGTTGGATCTGTGTGTTGTATGCTAATTTTCAGTTCGTCAAGTTTATTTACCATAGAGCATAGGTTACTAGACCAAAAGGAAACCTGAATAAATGATTCAATTAGTTTATGGAATCTTTATTTCCCTTGTTGTGAGAAGAAACTATTCTTGGTACAACATTAGAATTTGGAATATTCTCGTCTGCCAAAATCCCTCTTCAAAAGATGTTTGTTGATTACCTAATTCCGAGGGGTGGTAAACTAGTCAAAATCCGTGTACAAGTTGGTCAAAATCCCAGAAAATCTCATAAGATCTATTCAAATTCCCTAAAAATCTTTGAAATCCTTAAAAATTTTAACAAAACCCGACAAAATCTCTTGAAATTGCATAAAATCCTAGCAAATCTAATAAAATCATTAACATTCCTAAAAAATATTTTCTCTGAAATGCCCAAAAATCCTTTGGAATCCCCAAAAATCTGTTAAAGTCTCTCAGAATTCCATAATTTAGTGGAATTTCGAGGAATTTCGGTAGAATTATGTTATTCTGAAAAAGGAATCAAATGTGAAATTTTTGCGGAGTTTCCATAGAATTAAATTAAATTCCTTCCTAGTTCTAGTTCCTTTCGAATTACATGAAATTTCAGTGAAATTCCGATCGAATTACCTACATGAAATCCTAAATGAATTGCATGGAGGAATTTACAGTTCTTACTGAATTTTAGTAAAATTCCAGAAAATTCCACAAGTGAAATGCCGAGGAATTTCCGGCTAAAAACATGGAATTTCGGTGATGTTCCGAAAAATTCCCATGTAATGACATGAAATTTCAATATACATATTTCGATGAATTTTTCAAGAAATTACTCGAAGTTTCATTAATATTCCTAGAAATTCCTGTTTACTAAAAGAGAATTTCAGTGAAATTCCGAAAAATTCTCATGAAAATAAATGAAAGTTTGAAAAATTCCTTGAAGTTTCATTGGACTTTCGAGAAATCTTCAATTATGAACGTGGAATTTTCAAAATATTCTCATAAAATTTTAGTGAATTTCGAGGAATTTTTAAGAAATTACATGAAATTCCGAAGGATTTTATGAAAATTTTGTGGAATTCCAGGATATTTCAGTGGTGAAATTTTGGGGAATTTCAGTAGTTGAAAAAAAAAATTATGGAATTTTGAAATTTTAGCGGAATTCCCAGGAATTTCATGAAATCCTATACTGTAATTCCGGAAAAATTTTGTCTAAGAATTCCATAAAATTTCCTGGTGAAATGTTAAGGAATTTCTAATATGGAATTACTTATAATTTTCGCGGAATTCCTATCCCTATGGAATAACTTGAAATTTCAGTGGAATTCCGAAGAATTTCATAGTGTAATTCTGAGGAATTTTTGTTCAAGAATTCCATTGAATTTTATTGTGGAATTCCATGAAATCTTGGTAAAATTTGGAAAAATATTATGAAATCTTGTAGTAAAACGAGTAGTAAAAATTTCTCCTTTTTCCATTCAAACTTACCATTTGAATGGAATTTCGAATTAACTAAAATTTTCACGGAACTCCCATGGAATGATTTGAAATTTAATGGAATTCCGAAGAATTTCATGAAATCTCATAGTGTAATTCCGAGGAATTTTTGTGCAAGAATTCCATTAAATTTCATGGTGGAATTCCATAGAATCTTGTGATGAAATTCAGAAAAGTATTATAAAATTTTTAGGAATTTACGTTTTTCCATTCAAATTTATCACTTGAATGGAATTTCGAGGAATTGCATAAAATCTTCTGGTGAAATTCTAAGGAATTTCTATAGAATTGATTAAAATTTTCGCAAAATTACCATGGAATAACTTGAAATTTTAGTGGAATTCCGAAGAATTTCATTAAATCTTATATGTATTGTAGTTTCGAAGAAAAAAAAAATCCAAGAATTCCATTGAATTTTATGGTGTGAAATGTGACATGTGAAATTTTTGTGGAGTTTCCATATTCGCATTAAATTTCAGTTCCTCTCGGATTACATGAAATTTCGAGAAATTACATGAAATTTCAGTGGAATTTCGATCGAATTACATGACATCGTGAATTAAGTAGTTACATGGAAGAATTCTAAGCAATTACTTACATTGAATTACACCGAAATTCCCAACATGAAGTTTCACTGCTCGTTAAATTACATAAAGAATTTCAAAAAAATTTCAAAATATTACATGAATTCCGAGGAATTTTCGTCGAATTATATTGGGCTCCGATGCAATTGCATAGAATTCCAAGGAATGGTCAGGGAATTACATGAAATTTAAGTGGAATTTTGAACAACTCTTATCGTTTCATAAAGAATTCGAGAAATTTCGAAAAATCCTAATGTAATTACATGAAGCATTATTTTTATTCCAAGGAATTTCCAGTTGAAAACATGGCATTTTAGTGAAATTGAAATTCCGAAAAATTCTCATCGAATTATTGAATTTTAGTAAAATTAGAGAAAATTCCGAGGAATTGCCAGCTAAAAACTTGGAATTTCGGTGAAATTTGGAAAAGTTCCCATGTAATGATATGAAATTTTAATATGTATATTTCGGAGGAATTTCGGTGAATTATCAAGAAATTACTTGAAGTTTCATTAATATTCCCAGAAATTCCTGACTATTGAAAGAGAATTTCAGTGAAATTCCGAAAAATTCTTATGGAAATAAATGAAATTTTGAAAAAAAATTTGAAGTTTCATTGGAATTTCGAGAAATTTTTGACTGAAAACGTGGAATTTCAGTGAAATTCAAAAAAATTTAATAAAACATTAGTGAAATTCCGAGGAATTTCTAAGAAATTACAGGAAATGTCAGTGAAATTCCGAAAAATTTTATGAAAATTTTGTGGAATGCCAGGATATTTCAGTGGTGAAGTTTTGAGGAGTTTCAGTAAAGTTTTAAAAAAATTATGGAATTTGGAATTTCTATAGAATTTTGGGGAATTTCAGTGGGATTTCGAGAAAAAAAAAATTATGAAATATTGGCAGAATTATTATCAAATTATATATAATTTCACTTTGTGTCCACTTACATAAAATTTCGATGGAATGTCGAGTAAAGTTCCAAGGAATTCTCGTCGAATTACATACATGGAATTCCTTGAAATCTTATTGTGGAATTCCAGTGAAATTACATGGAATCCGAAGAATTCCCTTGGAATTAAACAAAATTTCCGTGGAATTTCCATGGAACCACGAGAAATTTCGGCGGAATTTCGAAGAATTGAAATAAATTTTAGTGAAATTCTGAGTAATTTCTGTCGAATTACATAAAATTTTAGTGGAATTCTGCGAAATTTCATGAAATCTTTTAATGTAATTCCGAGTAATTTTTGTACAAGAATTTCATTGAATTGTATGGTGGAATTCTATGGATTCTTATGGTGAAATTCGGAAAAGTATTATGAAATTTTGTAGTAAAATTTCTAGGACTTCTGTTTTTTTATTCAAATTTGTCATTTGACTGGAATTTCGAGGAATTCCATAAAATCTTCCAGTGAAAATTCTTAGGAATTTTTATGGAATTAACAAAAATTTTCGCAGAATTCCCATAGAATAACTTGAAATTTTAGTGAAATGCCGAAGAATTTCATTAAATCCAATAAGTAGTGTAATTCCGAGGAATTTTTGTCCAAGAATTCCATCATATGATGAAATTCGGAAAAGTATTAAGTATTATGAAATCCTATAGTAAAATGTCTAGAAATTTCCGTTTTTCCATTCAAATTTGCCATTTGAATTTGGAATCTCTAAAAACTTTTCAAAAACCGCTAAAATGTTCCAGAATCACCTAAAATTTTGAAAATTTAAAATCTTCTGAACTGTAAAATCGTGTAAAAATTTTCAAAATTCCCAAAATCAATTTAGATTTAAAATATGTGTTCATTATTTTATAGAGTTTGAGCGGTTGATTGGTCAAAATCTGTGTATAAGTCCAGAAAAACTTGTAAGATATACATATTTAAAATCCCTGAAAATCTTTAAAAAATGAACAAAACTTCACAAAATGCCTTAAAAATCACTTGAAATTGCATAAAATTCCACAAAATTTTATTAGAACAAAAAAAATCTGGCAAAATCTTATAAAATCATTATGTAGGTATGTATTCCTAAAAAAAAATCCTTCAAAATTTTCAAAAATCCTTTGGAATCCTCAAAAATCCGTTAAAATTTCTAAAAATCTTTTAGGATCTCTAATGGCCGTTTCCACCAACTATTTTAGGGGAGCTTCAACAATAAGAAGGTATTCCTTAAAATGACAGATACAATAATAACATTAATATGTATTCCTATTAAAAAAATTCCTCCAAAATTTCCAAAAATCCTTTGGAATCCTCAAAAATCCGTTAAAATCTCTAAAAATCCTTTAAGATCTCTAAAACCCTTCTAACTTCCCTAAAATGCTCCAAAATCACCTAAAATCATGTGAAGATTTTCAAAATCCTACAAAATTAATGAAGATTTAAAATCTGTGTACATATTTTAAGGAGTTAACCACCCCTCGCCTAATTCATAATCTGTTTCAAAAGTTTTCCTCTATTATTTCACAAGTCTTTGAACTGGAGCAAGATGGTGCACCAACTCATTAGTCTGCTACATAGATTTAATCAGTAGAAAGGTACCATCGTCCAATGCCCACCAAAGTCACTCTTAGATCTTTTTTTTTTAGTCAAATTCAAACAGAAATCTTATGACAAAGCTAGAGCAAACGATAATACAGGAAATAATTCCAACAACATTACAATAAAATATACCGAACGTTACGTCAACACATAAGATTATCATTGTTTTGTTAAGACGTTTAACGCCGCATAAATCTCCATCGTTCTCCCAACAAGATCGCATCTTCATTTGGCCATTCGCAATAATTATTATGCGTGTAAAGTACCACCGTGAAACGCAATAAACCTTTCAAGTTTAAATACCAAAAGAGAAAAATTAGTTACGAGCCGTTGAAACAAATCCCATTTCCCCCCCGGTATGATTTATCGGGACATAATGCAACCGCGATAAGTCAGTTATGGAATAATTAATAATTGTAGCTAGTTAAGATAATAATTTACTAGGAGCGTAATTATTTTGTGATTACAATAATTTATTTATGCATGTCGTTTGTGCATATGGTTTTTAGATGGAATGTTAAATAGGAAATGAAATATATCTTCCCTGAAGTTGTTTAAATCGCTTGGGTGGTCGGGCTTTGTTCTAGTTTTTGACGGAAGCCATAAGAAATGCAGTATTTCATGTTGGTTTATTGTGTGCAATAAATATAGACTACAACCAATATTTATAGATTTTTGGATAAACATTAGATATGCATTCAACTATGATTTATATATTTCTATTATCCTCCAAAAATAAGGTCTTGATGGCTCTTCTGTAGTTCTCTGTTATGTTCTGCACTGCAGATATTCTTGTAGAAAGCTCAATTTTTTAGGGACATTAATTTATGGCGATTTGTAGATAATGATCAAAACCTGTCATTCCTTTATGCTCTTACATTAGCAACTGAGTTTCTCCTTATTCGGCTGACAGTAAAATTATCTGTCTGATTTCCCGTACATTTATTTGTCTAGAGATGTCTAAGTAGCTTTGTCTCAAATAAGTGAGTGGGCAGAACAAGAATAGTTTCATCTTACCAGTCCACCATTTTTAAGAGAATTGTCTCATGAAGGACGACTGAAAGCTCTTAATCTGACAACTCTGGAGGAACGCAGAAATAGAGGATACTTAATCGAAACATGCAAAATTCTACATAATCATTACACATGCGACATTGATTTCTTTCATAGAAATTCAACCCTCATCTGCGTGGACACTTCCTGAAGCTCTCCACCCAACTTTGTCACAGACTTTCCAGGAATTTTTTTTTTTTGTCAAATCGAGTGGTGCAACAGTGGAATCAGCTCCCTGACGAGGTTTTAACTTTCCCTGGTGTGAAGACTTGATAAATATTTTAGTGATAGGCCGTAAAATAGTACTGGCAAGTACCATTCCCAGCACAAGAGCTAATGACACTAATGACAGTCTACCAGTTTTTCCGCCTACTGTCAAAAACCCCTATAATAATAAGAATAATAATAATTATTGGCTTTTTTCAAAAGTAATTTATGAATGTATTTGCATATTTGAGGCAGCAAAAACTAATGCAAAGCTTTAAGATAAAGGTAAATATGTAAAACATTAAAAATAACAAATTATAATAACAATCTTGAAAAACAGACACTTCATAATATATTGTATTATTATTGTAGTAAAGTTCATTTAAATAAGCAAATGAGTATGGTTTTTACTAAGATTTTATGGAAGCATATCACTTACCGGTTAAAATCGGATCTTTCTTTATAGTAATAGATCTTTGCCAAACTTCTTCAACGTTCTGAAGTACAAGGTTGAAATGTTTGTCGAACATTAGTAGATTTGCTAGGCAGTAGCCTCGGATGCCTCTTGGATTAGCTGTGACAACCTAGAACAATAGTAAATTGAAACAAATTAATAATTGATATTGATAATAATAATGTATGGTTTTATTGTAATTCATCAATTCACAAGTTACAGAGAAGAGTATAATAGTACAATCATGACAGAACGAAATATAGAGTATTACCGTTGATTGGTATTACTTTCAAACATAAATCAATCACAAGTCATTAGATTAGCACGGGTGCTAGCACAAAGACAAAATATAGGAATACAAGAACTTTGATATTTTGCTTGACAAATTGGTTGAACCTGTAATCAGAGGTTGTTTTGTAATCAGCAGGAATTTTATTGGACATTTTTATTTTTGATATTTGGTAGCTTAATAATCTCTCATACATGGACGCGGTATTCATGAGAGGAGTCATTGTAAATTAATGTTTAAAATCCAAGTTATGGACATCCTACCGAAACTTAATTTTATCATACAGATAGTCAGGACATCTTTTTACAAATCAATTTGTTATACAAAACCAAACTATGCAGTGCACGTCTTCCATTCGTTCGTAGTCATTTATTGGCACTCACACTCCTCTCACGTCCCCTAATACCACCTATCAACCTGACACACGAATTTTGCATAAGCTGAATTCTTCTGTACAGTACAGTACATCGCAGTAGTTGAAGTGTGATAAGACAATGGAATCGCACAGCACTTTCTTAAGATTCTCATTAAGTTGGTTGAATATTAGTTTGAGGTTGGCAAAAGCCCGCCTGACAGTTATTAATATGCCCCGATATTCTTAGATTAGTGTGCATGAGCAGTCCCAGATTTTTTGCTGATAGGCTTAAATGAGAGATAAGCTGTGTGTCGTCAGCATAATAGTATAGAGAGAGAAAAACAGCGGTACAAGGATAAAACCCTGATGAGGCACTCCACATGTCATCCCCGCAGGCCTCGAAAGCCTGCAACTGAGCTTGACCACTTGGTTTTGACCGTGACCTAATAAGAAGTCTCGAATCATTGTCACATCCCAAATAGTGAAGTATGCCTAGAAGAAGATTATGGATGAGACGATCGAAGGCCGAATAGTCCAAGAGAACCAATGCCGTCAAACCACCACGATCCGAAGTATTCCCTGATTTGGTACTCAAGTAGCCTTTCGACGAACTTAGAAAGATTAGGCAGTATGCTTATCGGGCTCAAGTCCTTCTCCTTCAGCTCGCTTGGGGCACTTTCGGAAAAGGCAAAACTTAGGAGGTTTTCCAGCATTTCCAGCATTAGACATGAAGTCAACATTGAAGTAACATTGACAGACCAATGCCGTCACAACCAATGGCCATTGACTTTATGGAAGATAAGGCCTTCCTCGAACGTTACCCGCCTAAAAGTTGGCAGCATTGTCCTTTCTATTGTTGAGATAGAAGTTCAGCGTCGCTGGAAAAGGATCGCCAGACTGACCGGCACCTGCAAAAAAATGTTGATATCGTCAGCATTGCCCAAGTTTTCAGGGACCACCTTCTTAGGTTTCGAATAAATATCAAGTTCTCTCAACAGTTTCCAGTTCTCCTTTGACCCATTGTTTTGAATATTTGTTTCAAGGTATGGCCGTTTTCCCCTATCAATAGCTACACTATCTGCATTTCTTAGATGTCTATAAGTCTCTCAGGCATTAGCAGTTTTAATTCTTTTATATTTCTCGATAGATAGATAAGACATTTAAAGTCAATAGTTAGCCATGGAGCTCTATTTTTGGTAATTCGGGTGGTTTTTATTGGTGCATATGATTATTCGAAATTTTGATTATTATCGGCTCTTGAGCTTTGAATGCCCTTAGAAAATTCTCTAGCGAATCCAGAGTTGAGAAAAGTTCAAATTTTGACTATTACCGGCTCTTGATTGGTTCCAGGAAAGTTTTCCATAGAATCAAGAGCCGGTAATAGTTCAAATTTTGATTATCTATGGCTCTTGATCCATTGGATAATTTTTTTTGAGCCAATTAGAAGCTGCGGAAAAAGAAATTTTGATTTATATCAACTTAAGAGCTGCTAATGATGATTCGAAATTTTGATTATTATCGGCTCTTGAGCTTTGAATGCCCTTAGAAAAATTCTCTAGCGAATCCAGAGTCGAGAAAAGTTCAAATTTTGACTATTACCGGCTCTTGATTGGTTCCAGGAAAGTTTTCCATAGAATCAAGAGCCGGTAATAGTTCAAATTTTGATTATCTATGGCTCTTGATCCATTGGATAATTTTTCTTGAGCCAATTAGAAGCTGCGGAAAAAGAAATTTTGATCTATATCAACTTAAGAGCTGCTAATGATGATTCGAAATTTTGATTATTATCGGCTCTTGAGCTTTGAATGCCCTTAGAAAAATTCTCTAGCGAATCCAAAGTCGAGAAAAGTTCAAATTTTGACTATTAGCGGCTCTTGATTGGTTCCAGGAAAGTTTTCCAGAGAATCAAGAGCCGGTAATAATTCAAATTTTGATTATCGTTGGTTCTTGATCCATTGGATAATTTTTCTTGAGCCAATTAGAAGCTGAGAAAAAGAAATTTTGATTTATATCAACTTAAGAGTTGCTAATGATGATTCGAAATTTTGATTATTATCGGCTCTTGAGCTTTGAATGCCCTTAGAAAATTCTCTAGCGAATCCAGAGTCAAGAAAAGTTCAAATTTTGACTATTACCGGCTCTTGATTGGTTCCAGGAAAGTTTTCCATAGAATCAAGAGCCGGTAATAGTTCAAATTTTGATTATCTATGGCTCTTGATCCATTGGATAATTTTTCTTGAGCCAATTAGAAGCTGCGGAAAAAGAAATTTTGATCTATATCAACTTAAGAGCTGCTAATGATGATTCGAAATTTTGATTATTATCGGCTCTTGAGCTTTGAATGCCCTTAGAAAAATTCTCTAGCGAATCCAGAGTCGAGAAAAGTTCAAATTTTGACTATTACCGGCTCTTGATTGGTTCCAGGAAAGTTTTCCATAGAATCAAGAGCCGGTAATAGTTCAAATTTTGATTATCTATGGCTCCTTTATCCATTGGATAATTGTTTTGGAGCAACCAACTACCAAATATCCATATTGGATGCTGGCTATGTCTGATAGACAAAATAGAATGATCATGTAGTCTATGCTGACTTATGGAATTTCTCAAGTAAAGTTTCAATATTTTTAAATTACTAAATGATCTGGCAGCAGTGGCAACTGGAAGGAATGTTAAGTATATCGATCGATATGGGTCATTATATTTTTCAATTTTATTTCAAATCATTTTTATTCAAAAAAAAAATTGTACCCAAGGGCCCTCTTCATACCCAGTCCCCTGAGCATTGCTTATATCCGCTTATGCATATCGCCGAGTTCATTGTTCTTATTCATTATTCTTCCTATTTTTGTTTATGCGTTTTTGTACCTAATCTTGTTTGCTCTGATTTATTTCGTGGTACATGCTTTTTAAATTGTATTTATCCTGGTAAATCTCTAATCTTTTATCTCACGCTGTTTTCTTTGTCTTTCTGATAGGTACCGGCTTTGTCTCTGATAAGGGAAAAGAATCCGGGAATTCCAGAAAATAGTGCTCACCTCAAATTATATCCCTTTCCATTCTTCTCGTTAATTTCTTCTACAACGGAAGCAAATGATTCAATCTGTCCCATACTCGAAGCTAAGCAATCACAAATCAAAGTGAAAATAATGTTGGTGGACAATAAAGTCATGACTCATGAGACTAGTTTGGTGTGTTAAATAATAAAGTCACACTTTCAAATATTGTCTTCTAACATTTCAATAGTGTCGAAACTTAGTGAAACACCCTATAATCCTTACCAGTTACCTCCCATCCTTAATCTTCTCAAAGACAAACAAAAAAAGGTGAGATAAACCGTAACCACGCAATACGCAAACACCGCGATCTCATCGTGGCGATTCATTTTCGGTGATCGTAATCGTTCGACAAGGTAGTGCACTGGGTTAAGCCGACGGAGAAGTACTTTCGCGATGGACCTTGGTGAGGCGAGGTCTACAACGAGGTCACCATACAAGGTCTTCACACCTATAAGAACATGGCGGTCTCGACCTTGCCCACAGAATTTTTGATGATTTTTTTTTTATTTCGGTCGGGCTCAATCATTACCTGTTTGTCTAAAAGGTGCGTGGTGCAAGAACGCAAGACTTGCACGCGCCCGGCTTATGTCTCGGTTAGTATTATTGGAAAGGTTAGACGGTTGATTATTGTGCATACTTCCTGGTACTATTTTAGATTAATTTGATTGTTGGTATCCTTGATTTGTTGTTTATTTATGTTAGAAACTTTAATAAGGCTCCGGTACAATGCTTCTTTTAAAATCTACAAACATATTAATGCAGTTCATAATGTAGTTTTTGTAAGCATATTCAACTCTAAAATACAATTTAAAATTTTCTTACAACAAAAGAATACATAATAAATATGATTTTACAGATTAGGTAAACGTTTTAAATATCTTCTATTTCTTCTATATATCTGTCCATTGTTCGTTTCAACCTTATAAGACCGAAAAGCCACTTCATCTTGAACGTATGCTTCTTTTTGTTTATCTGAAATCCATACCCTCTGCCCTTTATCCTATTTTCAAACATTCCGCGCTCTATGTCTTTGGTCAAAATATTTCTGTTGCTTCTTCTCTTCTTCTTTATTCTCGTGAATGTTTTTTAAGTCTGGTAATTTTGATTTCAAAAATGATTTTGGAAATTCTATTTGCTCTCGTAAATTTTTACCCATCAAAAGTTGACTTGGACTCGCGCCACAACTCAGAGGTGTACTTCTGTAGGCAAGTAATCCTAAGTTGAAATCTTCTGACCTTTCAAGAATCTTAGGTGTTTTAACACCACTTTCTGCGAAACCATTTCATTGTGCATGATATGGCCTGCTTGAACGCCAATCAAATCCATACATTTTGGCAAAATTTTTGAAAAATAAACAATTGTATTGAGGTCCATTATCCGTACGTAATATTATTGGAATTCCAAATCTAACAAATATTTTTTTAAGTTCT